AGATTGTACTATAATCGTGTAAGATTCTACCATTGGGTAAATGGGGGAACTGGGTACACAGGATCTCTGTCATTTCTTACTGCATGTGAATCTACAATTACTTCAAATTTTTAACAATTAATTAAAAAAAAACACAACAGTACGGGGCACCTGGGTGGCTCAGTTGTTAAGCATCTGCCTTCGGCTCAGGTCATGATCTCAGGGTCCTGGGATCAAGCCCTGCATCAGGCTCCCTGCTCCATGGGAAGCCTGCTTCTCCGTTTCCCACTCCCCCTGTTTGTGTTCCCTCTCTCGCTGTGTCTCTCTCTCTGTCAAATAAATAAATAAAATCTTTAAAAAAAATAAAATAAAATAAGAAAAACAGTACATGTACTGACTGTGGAGGGGTGGTGTTCCTTTCCTCCTTGATATGAAGCAGGCACAGGGCTAGTTAATTCTTGGACAGAAACCATGGCAAGCCCAGGGTGCCAAGGAAAGCCGTATGGGTGTTTTAATGGATGGCATTCTTCCACTTGAGTCTTCATGACCATGTGTGGCCACCAGGAACAATCGAGTGGGTCTGGCAAATGCAGCTCTCCCACCATGCCCTGGCTAAAGTTCAGAGTGGTAATTACACAGGGCCTCCCTCCAATTCCCTGCAGCTCTGACGAGGTAAGGAAGGCTATATGCTTTATACGAAAGCAAGTCTGTTTTAATCTTTTCTCTGGATTACATAATATCCGCCCCCCCCCGTTATTTACTACCAGCATTGTGCTAAATGCTTTGCATGCATGATCTTATCTGGTCCTTACAATAGCTCTTAGAAGTAGATACAGTTGATTCTCATTATTGGCAGCTGCTCTGTTCTATAAAGTTGCAAGAGTGAATGCTGAAGCATGGCCCCTGGAGGAAACCCTGGGGTAGATTCCTGCAAGCCTCTGGTCACAATATTTTCATCAGCTCATCAATACATAATCTTGTGCTCTGTATGCTTCTGTCTAAAGACACCTTATTTAATACACATTGTCGATTCGTTAACAGCCAACAGCACTATAATTCATGCCTGAATTAAGCTTATCTAACACATGTATTTTCTCTGTAAGCTGCAGCGCAGCCTTCTTGTGCTCAGAAACATCAGACAGCGCTGTGCACGGGGGCCACTGTAAACAGTAAAGCCACCAACATAAAGCGCAAAAATGCAAAAATCATGGTACTAAATAGGTCCTGAAAGGGGCCATTTACAACCTGGGCTGGAATAAGGACGCAAAATGGTGCCTTGTTCAAAACCAGCTGGGAACATGTATGGCCAGCACTCAAAGTTTTCACCCCTCTGCGTTGTCTGCAAATGACCCTGAAAGCACCGTGAGTATGGATTTGGGGGTTACGAATGTTACAGATGAATTTCAGCCAGTAGGCAAATTTACAAATAGAGAAGCAACTAATAATGAGGCTCGAATGTCCTTGTCTTAATCCCCTTTGCAAATCACGAAAAGGATAGTCAAGGAGCTTTAGCAGTTTCATTGCCTCAACCCAATTCTATGAGAACTGATTATGATTCAGGTGTTCCTCTACGGGAGGGTTTCTCAACCCATGCTGTTGATATTTGGGGTCAGAGAATTCTCGGTTCTGGGGGGCCCGTCATGTGCATCGTAAAGTGTGGAGAAGCATCTCTGGTCTGTACCCACTCAATGCCAACATCATCTCCATCCCCCAAGTCATGATAACCAAAAATGTTTCCAGACACTACCAAATGTCCCCTGAGGGGCAGAATCCCTGCCCCACCGTCAGAACCACTGGTCTAGGGACTGGAGACACAACAACCACAAAGTGCAACGTCTCTGATCTCAAGAAACTTACGTTATGGGAGAATGGCAAACGGGGATGTGGGGCAGGGCGGGGAGTTAGTGTTTCATGGGGACTGAGTTTCAGTTTGGGAAGGTGAAAAAGTTCTGGAGACGGATGGTGGGGATGGTTGCACATTGTGAATGTAATTGATGCCACTGAATTTGACACTTAAAATGATCAGAAAGTCAAGTTTTATGTTATGTATATTTTAACCACAATTAAACCAGACAAGAGCCAAGCTTGGCTTTTGCAGCGGCTCCTTGGCAGTGGCCACAGCACCATGGACAGCTCCTGTGCGCTCTCATAGGGGAGGCACTGCTGCTTCGTAAATGCCCCTCTGTCCAGAATGCTTTTCTCCCGCTTCTTCATCCATCCCACTCCTACCCACTCCTCAGGGCCCAGCTCACATCATCACTGCCCACCCTCCCCGCTGGCAAGTCTTCCCATGCACCCTCCCCCAAGCCACTCTGCTCCAAAGATGTCTCTAAATCAGCCCAGACTCCTTTGTCCATCTGTTTCTTCAAATGGGAGTTCTGCAAAAGCAAAGCCTTTCTTATTCACACACTGGACCCCCGCACCCAGCCACAAAGACTGGCCTGGCTTTCCCATTCAATTAACACGAGTGTCTCTTCCCAGAGCTCCACTTCTTCCAGCCAGGAAGCTCTGGGCTCTCCTGCCCTGCTGTGGGGCAACGCCTTTCTGCCTTGGGCTCAGAGGGCCCAGACCCTGATGCAGTGAGGGAAGCAGTGAATGAAGCAGCAATGTGAGCAGAGTGTTGACTGATCTCCGTGAGGAGAGCCAGCGTCCACACATTCCACCTGCATCTCCTGGAGGCCTCCTCTGTGCTGGGTACTGCTGCCCTCTGCAGAGAACATAGCCATGTACAAGGCCAACCGAGTCAGGGGCTCCTGGGTGGCTCAGTTGGCGAAGCATCTGCCTTCGGATCAGGTCATGATCCCGGGGTACCGGGATCGAGCCCCCATCGGACTCCCTGCTCACCCGGGAGGCTGCTTCTCCCTCCCTCTGCCCTTCCCCCCTCTTGTGCTCTCTCTCTCTCTCTCTCTTTCTCTCAAATAAATAAATAAAATCTTAAAAAAAAAGACCAACCAAGTCTCTTTTATCTTGAATTTTATAGTCTAGCAAAGCAGTCAGAGAATAAACGAAGAAACAAGTAAATAATTTCAAATAGTGGTAAGTGCTGGGGGGGGGGAATCAAGCTCCTCAGTAAGTGAAACACAAACCTACTGTATGTCCCGGTAATTCCGTTCCCAGGCGTGTACCCAAGGGAACTGAAAACAGGGACCCAGATAAGTCTCTGCACAGCCACGTTCACAGCAGCACTATCCACAATAGCCAAAGAGTGTCAACGGCCCCGACGTCCAGCCACTGGTGAACGGGTAAACAAAAATGTGGCTAATGCATACAGTGGAATACACTGTTCAGCCATCAAAAGGAACAGAGCACTGAAGCTGCAGTGTGGATGATCCTTGAAAAATTATGCTCTACCAAAGAGGCCAGACAAAAAAATGACATAGTGTATGACTCCATTTATATGAAATGTCCAGAACGGCAAATTCACAGAGATAGAAAGTGGATTAGAGGTTGTCAGGGTTTGGGGCTGTGGGATGGGGAGTTAGTTGAATAGGGACAGAGTTTCAGTTTGGGAAGATGAAAAAGTTCTGGAAACAGACAGTGGGGATGGTTGTGTGGCCATGGGAGTGTGCTTAATGTCACTGAACTGTACACTTTCCAATGGTTAAAATGGTAAGTTTTATGTTTTGAGTATTTTACCACAATTTTAAAATGTATATACTAAAAAAAAAAAAAATCGGACTGGGCAATGGAATGGGGTGGTGGAGGTGGGGGGTAAGGGAGGGATGGTTGGGGAAGGTCTCTCTGAGAAGATTACTTCTGAGCTGACACCTGAATAATGTAAACATCTGCTGGAAGAGCGTTCCTGGCAGTGGGAACAGCCTATTCAAAGGCCCTGTGGTGGGGATGAACTTGATGTGTTCGCAGAACAAGTGAAAAACCACTGCATCAACAAAGCAATAGGCATCGGTTCCTACTTGGGGCCATTCGTTCATTTCCTGCGGCTGCTGTAACAAAGTATCACAAACCAGTTGGCTCAAAACAAGAGAAATCTATTATCTCCCAGTTCTGGAGGCCAGAAGTCAAAACTCAAGGTACTGACAGAGTTGGTTGCTTCTGGTGGCTGTGAGGGAGAATCCATTCTATGCCTGTCCAGCTTCTGGTGGTTGCTGGTGATCCTTGGCATTACTTGGTTTGCAGCTGTAAAAACACTTGTGGTTGGATTTGAGATTCACCGTAAATCCAGGGGATCTCACCTAGAGATGAGAGTACCGGAATCCTAACTCCATCTGCAAAGACCCTTTTTCCAAATAAGGTCATATTCACAAGTTCGGGAGGTTAGGACATGGCCAAGTCCTAAAAATAGACACAGCAACAGCAAGAAACAGGTATAGAAGCTTTCTCGGGCACCGTGCTAAGTCCTCTCCTACATGATCTCGTTAAACGCCCAAACGCCAGTACCATGTTTCTATTTCACAGATGGGGAAACTGAGGCCCAGCAGGTAAGATCACTTACCCCGTGGTGTGTCCCAGCTAGTTAGCCTCCCAGCCAGGGTTCGAACCTCCTTCTGATCTGATTTCAGAGGCTGCACTCTTTATGGGGTCCTGAAGTCCTCCAGGGCAGGGCCGCTGCGGCGCACAACTGCAGGCGGCGCCTTTCCCTCCGTGGCCCCCAGAGCAAGTGTGTCCCGGAAGACTCTGCCTCCCCAGCACGCAGCCGGGTCCTCGGCACACTCGACTCGGTCCACAGTAGGCGGCCAGCTGAGGGATCCAAGGAATGGGGTCCTAAGGATATTTCCCCTCCCTTCCTCCCTCCTAATCTAAGGAATGAGGCCATCGCCTTATTTACTTATTTGTTTGTTTTTTCCTTGTTTTGTTTTTAAATCTATGATGCGCCATCAGGAAATCATTTCCGCTTCAGCCTCTGCTGAGGCTCTTGGAAATACTCCCCTTTCAGCCAATGGAGAGCACCGGATTCTGGCAGGGGGCTGTGCTTTTTGGTCAGCCCTGCCCCCACCCACCCACCCTGCACACAAAAGCAGCATAATTAACTGTCTGAAGGCAGCCGAGCCTCCGCCAGCAGCGAGCTGGCGAGAAGACACCTCTGAGGCACGGGCTGCGACCGTGGCAGGGGCCGGGAGCGCAGCCGGCCGAGGGGCAGCCGGCCGCTAACTGCAGCGGTCCCCCAGCTGTGGACAAAAGCACCCATCCGCGCCGCCACATTGCTCTGGGTGACCTTCGCTGGGTGCAGAATCCGCCCCTGCGCGCGTCCTCCTCCGATGCTCTGAAGGCCCAGGGGCTGCGCTCCGAAGCCGAGGGATGTCAGGCTGCATCCGCGCGGGGCTCGCCTTTGTTTGCGCGTAACGGGCAGAGGCCGCCGAGGTGAGTCCACCCGCCTTTCTCGCAGCCCTGCCCCGCAAGATCTGTCCGGAGACATCCGCTGCCGCAAAGCCCAGTCCGGCAGGTGGGGCGGGTGGGAGCAGGGAACCGCGGTCTTGTGATTCCCGGGATGACAACACAGCCATGTCTCCCGATGCCGAGGAAAACCTTCCGCAGGCATGCACGCCCACAGTTCACCTTCCGTGCCCACCGTTCACCTGGAAGGCAGAGGATTGCACCATTTTCAGGACCTGCTTAGAGATTAGGCTGATAAAACCCTCAGCCTCTCTCTGGGACGCTTCCTAAGAGACCGAAATGTACACGTCCCATCTCTGTGCATTTCCTATTTATAACGCCGTGAGCGGATTTGGGAGGAAAAAAAAAAAAGACTTGATAGATGTGTACATCGAGGCTTGCCTATGGGGTGGGGAGGAAGGGAGAAGGTTGAAGACTGATTCCTCCTTCTCTGAATTTGAACGCGATATGCCGGTAACTCAGCCGGCACAGCGCCAAAGCTCACTTCCTCGTTCTCCACCCTCAAACGTGAAGCCGGGATCTTAGAACAGGCGTGTACAGGGCCCACGGGGGACCCACCCACACCCCACATTTAGAGGATTGTGGGGCCAGCATGTGTGGTCCCGGAGTCTCAGCTGTGGGTGGGATTGGGGGGCATGCTTCCTGGGCGCTGAGGTCACACCCAACTCGGGGTAAGGAAAACAGACGCAGAGACCTCTTCCCCCGCCCCCGACCCCCGCCCCGCGAAAGGAAATTCATTTCCATTGATCTGAACTTTCCCTTGCTAAGTAAGGTTTTGGGTGGTGGTTGTTGCCCCAGGCATCAGGAAGAGTTTTTTGGGGGTTTTTTGGGGTGTTTTTTTTTTTTTTGGCGTACTGCGTCTTACTGTCCCTCCTCCATGAATGAATGACGACATTCAGAACAGTGACAAGGATGCAGTGGGAAACTCTCACCCAAGCGTGTGTGTGTGGGGGGAGGGTGTCTAATTTTAGCTACCCCTCCCCCACTGCCTGGCCTTCACCTGGCCCAGGCTCCCTCTGGCTCCTCCCTCTCCGAGCCACAACCTCAAATGCAGACCCCGCCCACAGGGGCTGCTGTCCACACCCAAACCCTTAGCCTTGCAGGCTCTACAGAGGGGCAGCCTCGGCATCAGGAAGGGTGGGGGGCTGGGGACGGGGGAGAGGGAGGGAGGGAGGCTTAGGTGCTGGCATGTGAGAATAACTACCCAGGAGCTACTTGGAGGGTGGGCTGCAAGGACACAGCGAGGCCTCTATAATGACTGTCAAACCCTGCCCAAGTTCCCTTCACAAGTGTGCAATTAAGACAGGACTTAGGGCGCCTGGGTGGCTCAGATGGTTGGGCGTCTGCCTTCGGCTCAGGTCATGATCCCAGGGTCCCGGGATCGAGTCCCGCGTCGGGCTCCCTGCTCCTTGGGAGCCTGCTTCTCCCTCTGCCTCTCTCTCTCTCTGTCTCTCATGAATAAATAAATAAAATCTTAAAAAAAAATAATTAAAAAAAAAAAAAGACAGGACTTCTCAATCTCAGATCTATGGACATTTGGGGCTGGATCATTTTTGGTCCTGGGGGCCACCTTGAGCATGTTGAGCAGCATCCCTAACCTCCATCCACTTGATGCCAGTAGCACCCTCCCCAAACTGTGACAACCAAAAATGCCTCTAAACATTGCCAAGTGTCTCCTGGGGGGAGGGGGGAGGGCAAAATTATCCCCACTTGAAAGCCACTGGTTTAAAAGCATAGAGCCCATTGTGTTGACTAAGTTATAAGATCCTGGAATCTTATGTCTAAAAGGTATTATATAAAGATCATTTCTAGTCCAACTTTTTAGTTTGCAGATGGAGATATTGAAGGGGGGAGGGGGGAGTGGGGGAGTCTTCCGTGCCTCGGGGTAGACCCCAGTTCAGTCTCATTCCGCAGTTCCTGCTGCTCCCAGACAGCCCAGCTCCTAAACCACCATTTAGGGTGCTGCCCGCCACCCCATCCTGCCCCCAGCTCCTCAGAAAAATAAAAAACAAAACTTGTGTTTTGTGCTTAGTAAGAATTACGACCCCAACTTCCAGCCCCAGTCTCTTTCCACACTGCCTCCATTAGCCCTGGGGTAAGCAGGTTGTCAGGACTTGCTTCTTTATTAGGGGATAAAGGGGCAGGGCAGGTAGCCTGGAGAAAGTAGAGGTGGGTTGAGGTCGACCAGGTCCTATTTGAAAGTGTCAGTCCCAGGCGGGTGGCTTACTCGGTTAAGTGTCTGCCTTCTGCTCAGGTCATGATCCCGGAGTCCCGGGATCAAGTCCTGCACTGGGCTCCCTGTCAGCTGGGAGTCTGCTTCTCCCTCGGCCCCTCACCCCACTTGTGCTCTCTCTCTCTCAAATAAATAAAATTTTTAAAAATCTTTGAAAAAAAAGGTGTCAGTCCCAGCAAGGAAGCTTAAGTACATCAGTCACTAACACTTTAGTATAAATGAGTTTAATTGGCTTTATTGCTTCCCAGATAACTCCAACGTAAGGGAGCGATGATGAGCCCTAAGGAGAATAGACTTCAGAACTTCAAAGCGAGGGGGGCTGATACCTGCTGACTCAGCGCCTCACCTGGGTTCAAATTCCAGACCCACGTGGGTGTCATCCACTCTGTACACCTCTGTTTTCTCACCTGTGACATGGGGAAACCTCATGGGGCTGGTCAATGGTTCAGTTGAATGAAGGATGCAACACTCTTTGCATATTGATCTGAAGGGCCACACATGGGTGGGGGGCTGTTATTACGATAACTGTCCAGTGAAACCTCCATTTGGCCCGCCTTCAGGATTCATCTCTGCTTCAAGCCAGCACCTCTCCTCGGTTCTCATGGGGACCACTGAAGCCACGCTCCGGATGGAAAATGTGGATGTGAAGGAAGAACGGCAGGATGAAGCTCTTCCCAGGTACGGCTTCTCCGTTTCTGCATCACCTGTCGCGTTGGGCGGGGGGTGCCCAGTGCTCCTCTGAGCTGTGGTGTGGGGGACGCTGAGGATGGATGGGACCAGGCACACGATAAATATTTGCTGACTTTTTTAAGATTGATTCCCCACCCCCGCCCCCACCAGAGCGCCGCAAATGCTCCATTCCCACGCTGTTTTAAGAGTTATGAACATTCTCCTGCAACCATCTCATGGACTATTATATTCTTACATGCGTTCCCACGAGTCCAGGTGATAGCACATTTTTCCCCGTGGCAGCCAGAGGGATCTTGTCTTACTCCTGCCTAAAACTCCGGGGGCACATGCCCACCCCAAGGAAAATCCGGTGTTCAGCCTCCCCTCCTTCTTCAACCTCTCTCCCACCACATCCCTGTCATGTCCCTCCAGTTCTAGAAGCTTCCTTCCCATTCCTTCCCCAGGCCCGGCCGGCGCTGACTGTCAGACTTCGCACCGGCTGCTCCCTCTGCCTGGAATGCCTTTCCCAGACACCCAAGCTTCCCTCGCTTCCTTCGGGTCTCTGCCCACAAGCCTCCCTCTCAGAGAGGGCCTCTTGGCCCCATTCATTACCCCTTCCCTCAGTCCCTGAATTGTTTCTTCCTGAACAGCGGCCCCCAAAGACGTCCACATCCTAATTCCCGTCCCCTGCCAATGTCCCCCTCCACGGCAAAGCCACTCTGCAAATGTGATGACGCTAAGGACCTCAAAATGGGGAGATGACCCTGAGTTATCCAGATGGGGCCCCCATGTCATCGAAAGGGTCCTTCCCGAAGTTCGAAGGGAGGATCTGTTTCTATCCCTTTCCCAGATTCTCCCTTAGAGCTTCCAGAAGGAACCAGCCCTGCCCACACCTTGCCTTCAGCCCCATGAAACCGATTTTGGACTCACTTCTGGCCTCTAGAATTGTAAGAGAATAAATATGTGCTGTTTTAAGCCACTGTGTGGTGATTTGTTACAGTAGCCATGGGAGACTCTGCTACGAGTCTAATACTCTGAATATTTCACATATTTATCTTGTATATCGTCTGTTTTCCCCACCAAATGGACCCCCCCACCACCACAGTAGGGGCCTTTGGTTGGATCACTGTTGTATGGCAGCATGAGGACAGACCCCGGCATACAGTCGGCGCTCAATAGCTGTTGGGTGAGTGGGTGACGGTCACTGGTAGGAGTAAAAAACCGTGTAGGAAGGAAGCAGAGACACGTGCACCCCCAGGCCTCGTGTCCCTCTGTTTGCTCCTCTGGGAGGTGTGGGGTAATGTGGTCGGCACAGGCTCCCCTAATCCAATGGCTGGACACACCGACCATCTCCGCCCTTCTTTAATGCAAGCAGTTTACCCCAGGGGATGATGCCCAAGAGCTCTTTATAAAACCGTCTGGGAAGGACTAACCGAAGGGAAGTGTGTGCTCACCCTGGAAAAGAGAGGGTCTCCAGATCCGGAAAATCCCAGCCCCTGAGGGGCCGAAGTCTTCCTCATGCCTCAGTTTCCCTATCTGTGAAGTGGGGATGTTAATCCCTCGCTCACAGAGTTGTTGGAGGAACCGGCTGAGGCCCTCGGGATGAAGCGGCTGGGGTGGGCTCACCACATGACGCAGGCTGCCCAAACGCACGGTCCCCCTCGGATTGCTCTTCTTAGCCGCGTCTTGTTCACTCCAGCTCCCTGCCCCCCCATCCATCGTTTAAAAGATAGCCCCTCTCCCAAGCCTTGTTGAGACAAAATGGGGCAGCTGCAGATGCGAATTTTAAGTGAGTTTCTCCCAGCTGCAGAGGGTCCCTCCCCGTGCTCAGTGGGCCAGTGTCTGCTGCACAGTGGCCCCGCTGTGCGGCCCTGGGGCGGGAGCCAGCCCTTTGCCGGGGCGTCTGCCTTCCTCGCTCTGCAAGAAGGGAGGGCAGCTCCGCACCTCTGTCTAGTGCCAGACAACCCACAGTTCTGTTCCTTCCAGCTCAGTGATCCCTTCCCGGAGGCGTCTTCCAGCTCCCCTGGGGTGCCAGAGGGCTGGCCCAGTGCCCACAGCCCCTCCTGACCCGAGCCCCTCCTGCCCCCACGACCTTGTACCATCTTCCTTCACCTCTGCCCCAGAGGGCAGCCTGGAGATGATGTAGCTCACTGCCTTATTTCTCCATTCATTCTCGGTAAGGCTATGCACCCACTGTATGCCAGGCCCCAAGCAAGACACTGGGGACACATGGCGAACAGGACAGACACCCTCGTGGGGCATTCAGTCTGGGGCAGAGAGAGACTTTTCCCTTATAAACTTCACAACCCAATATAAAACTGAAGCTGGGTTCGTGGTACCTGGGACAGTGCCTGGGTGGGGTCTGACCCGGGTGGAGATACTGGAGAGGTTGGGGAGGGTGCTGATCCTAAGCTGTGAAGGATGAAGAAAGCTAGGGGTAGGGGCTGAGCATTCGAAGCTCAGAGAGCAGTGTGTGCAAAGGCCCTGAGGCCAGTGGGAGCAGACCGAGGGACGTAAGGAAAGCTGAGGGGGCATCTTGGCCAGTGTCTCATAGTTAAGGAGAGGCAAGTACAGGGTTAGACAGATGTCTGACTGGTGCCTCAGCCTGCCCTTCCCTCCACAAGCAAGTGGCCGTGGGTTTTGTTTGTAACTTTCTATTCCGATGTAGTTCCAAACTCAGAAAAAAAAAATTACAAGGATAGTATAAGGCATGTCTGTAAACTTCTCCCCAGATTTGCCAATTAACATTTCACTCCCTTTGCTTTGTCATTCCCTCTCCCATCTCTCCCTCCCTCCTGTGTCTCTCTGTCTCTGCCTTCCTCCTCTGTCTCTCTCTGCCCCTCCCCATATATATATACACATAGACTCAGTTCCCGTTTGTATCTCTCCATCCCTGCACAGGGCATGCCAGTGCGGTCTCTCCCCTGAACACACGCACAGGAGCTGATTTTGTGTGGCACACACCTCAACAGTCCCCCCAAAAATGTGTGCAGCCGCGGTGGGTTCAGGGCACAAAGTGGTGGAGGGCTCTGAGCAGCCTAAGCATCGCTGCCCCTCCTCAACTCTGCCCTTCTCCGTCCTGTGCTCTAGGCGTGCCGGCTCCTCTCTTCTGGTCTCCTCCTCCTCTGTCCCAGTCTGCTTGGGCTGCCAAAACGGGATTCCACCCACACTTATTGCTCTCACCATCCTAGAGGCTGGCAGTCAGGTCAGGGGCCCGGCAGGGCTGGGCTCGGTGAGGGCTCTCTCCCGGGCTTGTAGACGGCTACCCTCTGGCCGTGGCCTTTCCTCCGTGCTTATGTGCAGAGAGATCACTCCTGTCTCTCTTTCTTATAAAGCACAGCCCTATGGGATCAAGGCCTTCTTATGACCTCATTTAACCTTTATTGCTTCTTAAAGGCCCATCTCCAAATGTAATCATATTGGAGGTTGGTCCTTCAATATATGAATGCCGGGGGGGACACGATTCAGTCTGTAACATCCTCTTTGCAAAGATCTGACTGCTGGGAGTGGAGTTGGGATGGGGGGTGGAGCTGTGGTGCCACCCGAGGCCTTGGGACCCTCCCCGAGGCCGTGGTGCTGGGGGAATCAGAGGGGGATGAAGGGACAGAGGTGTTGGACATTGCAGAGAAGGCACAACAACACATCTGTCTGGGCATCTAAAAACCACCAAAGTGGCCAAGAAAGAACCTTTTAGGCCTCTCTGGATCCCTTGGCTGGGCTTTGGGGGTGTCATATTGCAAAGCCCCAGCACTGTTGGCCCAGGCTCGAGCCTTGGAAAAGCCTCCCTCCACCCAGAAAGAGATTGTGTGGTTGCGTGCACCAGAAGCGGCCTTGGGCAGGCAGAGACAGAGACTGGCCAGCCCCAGAGGGGAGACTGAGGCAGCAGTGCCCAAGTTTGATACCCTCGAAGTCCTGAAGCACAGGCTTGGGGGGGGGGGGGGGGGGGGCATGGTCAAAGTTCATTCCCAGTCCCCTTGTTTCACACCATGGGAAACCAAAGCCAGAGGCTGGAACGTGAGGGTAGACTTGGAGCCAGGAGCCCCCCGTTAGGCCAGCACTGTTGCAGCCGCAGAGCCACTCCAGATCGACAGATGCTCCCACTGGTGCTCCCCACCACTCTCGGGATGCGCCTTCACTCAGTCTGTCCTTCTACCAGCCACTTCTCTGAGGGCCAGGCCCATGACTCACCAAAGCAAGATAGGAAGAGGCACGTCCTAGCAGGAAGCAAGCAGTTAGAGAAAGCAGGAAGCAGCACTCAAGACAGAGGGCTGAGATGTGCAAAGGCACCGGGGCCAAGGGGGGCCTTGGCACGGTAGGGAACATAGCCAGCAGAAATGGGGCTGAAGGGCTCCCAGACGCCACGTCCTAGAGGGGTGCCCAGGTGAGAGATCTGGATTCCACACTGCGCGCTGCATGAGACAACACAGATGTATTCTTGCACAATTCTGGAGGCTAGAAGTCCAAAATCGAGGCGTCAGCAGGGCCCTGCTCCCTCTAAAGGAGACACTCCTTCCCTCCTCTCCCAGCTTCCGACACGTCCCCGCAGGCTCTGCCTCATCCTCACGTGGCTCCACCCCTGTGTCTGCAGCCCCATTCCCCGTTCTCATCGGATTTAGGGCCCCGTTAATCCAGGATGGCCTCTTGTACCTTAATTACATCTGCAGTGGCCTTATTTCCAATAGGTCCCGGTCCAAGTACTGGGAGCTAGGACTTGAGTTATCTTTTGGGGGCACAGACTTCAACCCGCACGGAAAGATGAAGCCACGCCGGGCGCCTCGCATATAAAGGAAAGCCCACTTCTCATGGGGCTTGCCCGTTGGCAGGCTGAGCAAGCCCGCAGGGAGCCCTCCGGATCTACTCTGAGTTTATGGACAGGCTTCAGCTCCGCACAGTATGAGCTCTTCCTGGGACTTGGGGAAATAGCAGTTTTCAGCTGCTAGGGTGGGATTTGCCCGCCTGATGTCCCAGGCCCCGGGCTTCTCCTCCGCGGAGCGAGCGTGGAGTCCTGC